AATTTTATTCCCAAGGTTTAAATACAGCAACGAGATTTCATGCAAGGCTGAACTGAGCCCCAGCCATGTTTAATGCCTGTTTTGTTCCCTGCAGAGAGAACACAACTGTGTAACTGCTCTGAACTGCAGAAGTGCCCAGAGCAGGGTGCTGAGGTACCCACGAGCGTTTCCCAGTGGGTGTTTAATTCCTGGAGATGCAGTAGCTGGAAGCAGCAGCCTGATCTACCTCTTGTAAGGTGGAATCTGATAGAAGGCTCTCCTCCAGCCCTGCTGAATCCCATAATCCCTTCGGGATGAGACAAGACATGAGAAAACAAACCCCCAAATCCCCAGAATCACAAAGGGTCATAAACGTTACAAGAAATGAATCATTTTTCTCCAGTTTTCCCCCCGTCTGGTGAGTCCCTTGGAGCCTTCCCAGTGGTGCTGCTGAGCGAGAAACATCCGTGAGTGTAACACGGTGTGAGTTTAAGCAAACCCTTATGTCACTGCTTTGAAGTGTTAGTCTGAAACACACTTGTAAAAGAAAACAAAACAAAAACAAAAAGACGTTTTCAAAGCATTCCTACATAGGTGTGCAAAAAAAAAAAAAAAAAAAAAATCCTAAACAAACAGTAAAATCTGAAAGGCACCAAGATATTTGGGTGTTTTGGCAGGGAGCTCAGGTGATGTCAGGAAACAAATCTAAACAGAAATGTTTCTATGGAATTTTTTCTCTCTCTTTTTTTTTTTTTTTTTTTTTTTTTTTTTTGGAAACCTAATTGGAAACAGATTTTTTTTTTTTTTTTATAATTTTTTTGGCTTTAGATTTAAACATTTCCCTGCAGCATCTGAAGCGCCGTTCCCTGCCTTGTGCGTGTCGGGGAAAACTCAGGGGGTTTGGGCAGTTTTTATTTGCAGACAAGTCAACTCAGAAAGTCAGAGATCCAAAATCATAAATCTGACACAAAAAACAGCCTCCAAACCACCGTCTGGGGTGCTGATTAATGAAAAAAATTAAATAAATTGGCTTCATGTCAGCTGAGAGTTCCAGGGATAACACACAGAATGATAATGGGTGAACCCAAGGGTATGTTAAAGACACACAAACTCATCAGCGAGCTGTGACACAGCTCCAGAATGCAGTTATTATTGTACAGATCTACTTATAAATTATTAATGTCAAAATTATTTATATATAAATATCAAATATAGATACTGTGTGGAGTTGGTTTGCATTCATACTGACACTTTTTTTTTTTTTTAATGCTGACCTTGTCCTCAGTGAAAGCTTAAAAATATTATTTTGAAAAAGATTTAAAATATTTATGAATTAATAAAATATCGATAATTATTAATAAAATGTTAATTATTGTGAATATTAATAAATATTAATAAATATTAGAATATTGATGAGCACTCCTATATCTTTACCTAAAGTCCTTTCTGTTTTTAAAACCAAAAATCCTGCATGATAAAATCGATTAGTTCACTGATGAGCTGTCATATTCCATGTTTCCTTGGATCTTTTTTTATTCCTTGGGTCTTGCCTCTCACCTGTTTTTTGTTCTAAGAGAAACGACACAGGCAGCATCTCATTAAAGGCATCTGTCACGTTAACAGTGTGTTAATTGGCTTTTAAGATAAATTGCAGCCCTGCCCTTTCCTCCAGGCCTTTGGGAGGGCTCAGGGGGATGGGATGAGTTGAGTTGAGTTGAGTTGAGTTTTCTTGGAGCAATGGGACAGGGAGAGGGTTTTGGTGGTGCTGTCCCTCTTCTACTGTGCCCAAAAATTGGAATGAGCTTCAGAAATATCAAGATTTTAGTGTCTGGTTGTTTTTCTCTTGAAATTTTTCATCTCTCCTGCTTGAAAAGTTGGGTAGGGGTTTGGGGGGTTTTTTTGTTGGGTTTTTTTGTTTGTTTGTTTGTTTTTTGGGTGGATGAGTGGGGTTTTTTTCCTGTGTTGTGTTTAAATATGTAATTTGCTTTGAAGTTGTCAGGCAGCATCAGCAATAAGAAGTCGATGGTGAGAATAGCTATGGAAAACTCTCAGCTAAACATACTGTGAGGGCAACTGTGGGTCCCCACCACGAGTTTTGATCCTCGGCGCTGTCTGGAGCTCCAAACTCTCTCTGGAAGCAAATCAATTCTTACATCCATTTAGAGCAGGGTTTCCCCCTCACCATCCTTTTCCAACCATGCTTTTGACTCTCTGTTCTGTGAGAAACAGCTTAAAATCATTCCAGGCATTGAGGATCACCTTCCCCCGTGTTTTTTTCTGCTGTGGGAATTGTGTTGTCCCACCTCTGGCTCCTGGGCTGTGGAAGGTGCAGGCAGATTTTCTTTTTCAGGCTTAACCTGAACTTTTCTGTTTTATTGCACAGCAGATTAATCCACATCCACCACAGGATTATTTAGGTGGGAAAAGCCCTCTAAGATCGCCGAGTCCAACAATTCCCCCAGCACTGCCAAGCCCATCACTAACCCCTGTCCCCGAATGCCACATCAAATGGCTTTTTAAATCCCTCCAGGGCTGGTGACTCCACCCCTGGCCTGGGCACCTGTGCCAGTGCCACCCCTTTTGGTAAAGGAATTTTCCCAGAAGTCCAAATGATCCGGTTGTTTTCCGTCTGGCCAAGAGGATTGTGACTGACATCGCAATAAATATCTGCACCTCAAAATCCTAATTCACTGCGTGGGACGGTGTGTCCAGGGGCGGGAGGGGAGTTACCTGGTGCTTATTTTTATTTTACTGCTCTTGGTTTTGAGTATTTAATGACAGCACTGGCCACGTTTCTCTTTGCTGCTCTGTGTGACAAGCTGTGCAGCAGGTTGTTCCGAGGTATTACACCATCAAAACCCTCACAATTTGCTGGCTTTTCTCAGCTCTGCTGAATTGAATTTAATGTATTTATCGAATTTATTGTATTAGCATTAATTTTGCAGCTACAGCCTTTATTGCAGGCAAAGTAGGAATTTCTATGTGGCTTCTCCAGACTTTTTTTTTTTTTTCCATCCTTAGATAATGTTGTCTGTAGAAGGACGTCAGACAGTTCGTGTCTACAGCTTTGTAAAAGGTTTGTCACAAGTATCCAAACCAATAATTGTCACATTCTCAACTCATCTGCCCCGGTCAGGGAGCACAGAAACTGTTCCAAATTTCACGCCTGACCTTTCTGTAAGAGCTCCTTCCCCACTCGGGGTCTGGTTTTAATTAACTGGTTAAAGAGAGCAGCTGTTGTGCTCGAGGACAATTTCACACTGAATTTATTGAATGCATTTTAATCTGGGAAAGGTGGGATTGCCCTTTCTGCTGCTCCCCGAGAAGGCTCAGTTTGCCTGACAATAAATTCATCCTGATGGGGCACCACTGGATTTACTGTCACGGGAAACGGGGATGTGACGGTTCTTCCCCTTCTCCTATTCTGTGCCTGCATAAATGGAAATATTAAATGGACACCTGAAACAAAGATTTAATCTGCTATTTAGCTACAAGTGTCTTTATTGTAATTACAGCATAGTTTTGCCTTGTGCCAGTGAAGGGTGAGTCCCTACGTGCTGGATGCATGAAATATGTATTTTAATATATTAATATTTGAATTTCTTTTTTCTAAACTCTGAGTTTTTTCTGGTTTCTAAGCCTTTTTTTCCTTTTTTTTTTTTTTTTTTTTTTTTTTTTTTTTTTTTTTTTTTTTTTTTTTTTTAAATGGAATTGTCTTAAAAACGGATTGGCCCACTGTCTGCACATCTTTAGCAAAAAGGAAAATTGCATTTCTCTTCAGACTTTTGTGTTTGGTTTTTTTTTTTGTGGCAGGACAAGCGAAGTCGGATCAGTCCAGCTGAAAAACACCCCACCTGCCCCCTCTACTGGTATCTCTGCTCCAAGGCTGGAAAACGTTTTCCAAAAGGTCAGTGGTGTGGAGGAACACAGGGGATGACTGTCCTGGGAATATCCCCCATTCCAGCCAGCCAGCCTTCCTGCATTTCCCATCCCCGGAAGTGTTGGATGGGGCCCTGAAAAAGGTGTCCCTGCCCCATGGCATGGGGTTGGAATGAGATCACTCTGGGATTCTTGACTTGCAGCTCAGACTCTGTGGAAGTCAAGGGAGGCAACGGGAAAAGTTTTATTTATGTCAATAAAGCTTTTTTTCTCACTGGTTGGGTGCCAGATATGAAACAGGGGGAAAAAAAAAACAGTTTTATGTACTTTTCAGTATTAAAATGACAGGCACCATCAGCCTCACCCCAACAACCTGCTGGGCTGGGTTAGAGGAGCATTGCTTCAATCAGCTCCAGGACTCTGATGCTGAAATGATGACACAATGCAAACAAGAGCCATACAAAGAAAATAACCTTTATTAAATCAATCCAACCCTGAAAAAACAGTATCAGGTAAACAACTTTCCAGCAATGCAGAAACCTTTGAAACTGAGAAATTCGGGAAGTCTCATGTCCCTCTTGTTGCATTAGTAAATTCTCTCTCTCTTACATGAGCTATTGCTGTCCTGACAGCCCCCAAACCGTGCATTAACCCAGCAATTATCTCAAAACAGTAACTTGTAAAATATTCCCTGTGTAACTGTTTCACACCCCATTTTGTGCAAAGGTGTCCAACTGTGTTCTCTGCGCTGTCTGAAAAAAAGAACAAGGTTTTTTTTTTAAAAAAAACATCCAGCTCATTAAAAATAAAACAAGTGTTTTATGTACAGTACAGGAATTTCCAAACCTGAAGGAACAACTGTCTCCAGGGTGGCTGTGGGGCTGTAACAGCCCAGACTGCAGCTCTGCAGTGCCAAGGGGAGAAAAACTGCAGTTAAACAAAGCACTGCTCCATCTTCCTCCTCAGGTGAAACGTGACACTCCCCCCACACCTGGGGGAGCCTGATTTATAGCCCTGCATAAACCAGGAGTAAACAGGAGCTCGGCAGCGAGTAACCACTGTTTCCAAAAAAAATGCTCATTTTCATTTCCTCCAAGAACGGGGAGGGTGTCACAGCCTGGCAGGGAGCTGGGTGTTTTAGCCTCCAGTTACGTTGTGTTACTTCAAACAACATGCAACTTTAAGGTTCAGCATTTTAATCAACACTTTTTACACTCAAACCCTGTTGGTCTCGGATGCCAGCACCATCCAAAGCTCCTCAAACAAGCCACGACCCTGTGACTGAAGTACCAGGAGAGGGGCTGAGTTGGAGGTGAAGCAAGCAGCCAGTCACCCCAAAACCAGGGGCACAGCCAGGACAAGGCACAACAGAGCCTGAATGGAGCCCCTGGGACCTGGCCCAGCAGGGAGAGACAGACTGGCACTGGGACAGCAGCTACAAGGGGGAAGTGGCTTCAAACAGAGCCAGGAACTTTGATGGCCTGTGCCTCCTGACCTCCAAAACAACCTGTTCCTCTGCTGGCTGCTCCAAACTCCTCAGTCTGCCTTGGCCTCCCACTGGCATCAGGGGAGCCTCTGCCTGGGAAATCCTCCCCTTCCCTGGCAGAGGAGCTGAGGATTTCGAGGCTGAGCTGGCAGGTGGTTAGTGCAGAGATGGCACAGGGAGAGTGGCAGAGCTGAGAGATGGTTATGACAGAGATGATTAGCTCAGCACCGAGGCACTGGAAGAACCATCTGAAGAAACAATTCACTACAACAATGAAACTGCTTTTATTAAAACAGAAGTGTTAAGCCAAGAAAATAAATTATTGCTATAATAGACATATTTAGAACATAAGGAAGGACGTTACACCTTGAGTCCAGGTCAATATAACCCTGAAATAGAAAGTTACACTACTTTTCTTAAATACCTCAGTTTCTCTTCATGCCCTTCCAAAAACTTTATAAAATGTGCAGCTTACACAACAAATAGTAACAGAGTCACTTGTAACAAAAATCTGTACAGCTCTTAGCTTTAAAAATAATACATTTTTTTTTTTCCTCCAAACTGTTATGTTACTTATTACTCATAAATATAGGGCCAACGAGTTTGGAACGCCCAAGGTCCCATCCAACACCAAAGCTATTAAGTGTAGTTGACAGAAACCTTCTTGGGACTTCCCCCCCAGGCAGAGGTTCAGGTTTTGGGCTGTTTGAAAGAGCCTGAGTACAGGCCAAAAAACAAAAAAAAAAAATCTTCCTGGGTGAAGACTGTCTCTCTCCTTCTGCTGGTCAGAGGCCTGAGGTCTTCAGGGAGTTTGAAATGGCAATCAAACCTGGAACACAGCACCGTGCAATGGGTTAGACCAGCTGCACTCCCCTGACGTGGCAGGTCCCTCTGTCCTGGCCAGCAGTGACTTTGCAAAACACCTGAAAACCACCATTTGTCCGAGCTCAGTTTTGGTGGGCAAAGAATGTTTTCCTGGAAGAGCCTTGCAGGAAAAATACGGCTCTTCCCCCCACAGGGAGATGTGTCTCTGTGCCTCAGGACTCGCCCAAAGGCCACGCGGGCCAGCAAACCTGGGGCTTCTGTGACCACTCCAAAAGTCTTGTCTGCCCCTCCTGGATGTCACATTTGAACCCTGGCTAGATCTGTTCAGCTGATTATGAACACCTGTAGATCACAAGCCACGGGCCTGTGTGTGTGTGTAACACCCTATGGTGCCAACCCCACAAGCCTCCATCACTCACAGCCTAGTCCTGCCTCTCACATTCCCACCCCTCTGCTCTCCCAGAAAAGGGAGGCTCAGCTCCAAGGACAGAGAGGAGAGGTGAGCCAGGAACAGGCTGGTTTGAGTGGGCCCTGACATGGTGGAAGCCCTGCTTGGCTTTGAGCCCTGTCAGCATTCACCCCCTCCTCAGATCAACAATGATTTCCTCACAGCCAAGGCATCCTCCCAGAATCACTAAGTACAGGAGCAACATCTGGCAGCTCCCTCAGGACGTCCTGACCATAGCCTAGTGGGTTCCTCTGCCTGATGTGCAGTTTCCTTTGGAGGTTCAAAGGGAACTGTGGGATAAATCCAGCTAGGGGAGAACACCATGGACTCCTCAGGGCAGTTCAGGGGGACTCAGAGCAGGATTTTGGCAAAGAGCCACGAGAAACAGATTAGTGGTTAGACAGGAGGGCAGCATTCAGAGGAAAGCAGCTCATCTGAACACTGGTGACTGGGTAGTGCTCAAGCCTCTACTACCTGATAGTGATTTTGGTTGTTCTGGTTCTGCAAGGCAGATGGATCAGACTGGCTGTTCCCAGTGTTGGCTCCATGGGAGCTGGTATTCTCATGGATCAGAGCCTCAGAGACCAGTCAGGAATGTATGGGGAAAACTCACCAAGAAGCAGAGGGTGAGGTTCCCCTGACTCGGAGCTACTGACAAACCTGACCAGCCCTCAGAGCTGCTGGAAAATCCCCCCTGCAGGGGCTACTTACAACAACTCCACTTCCTGAGGCGGGGCCGAGGGGCTCACACTATTCTCGAGTGACTTTTGGTGACCTGGCCTGCTTTCTGCAGAGGAGAGAAGCCAGCATTAGTACAGGGTTAGAGGACAACAGCATCAGGACACGATCTAGTGGGAAGGCAAGCAGCTGAGAACTCTCAGGAACGTAAGAGGAGACACACTGACAGAGCAACAGGCTCCTGCTCCTCCATTTCATTGCTCCCCAAAAAAGGCCCAAACCTCCCGGGAAAGGAGCTTGGCAGCATCTGCAGCAGAGCTCCAGCCATCCCAGGAGGTTCCCTATGTACCCCAGCCCATGACAGCATTATAGCTCCTGTTTGTGCAGCATCCCCTCCTCGTGCAGCCTCCAGCACTGCAGGTCCTTTCCAGCTCATCTCCTCGGGGGGGATCTTGGCCACCGCAGGGGTGGCTCCTGCACCAGAGGGGCTCTTGCCTGCCCCAGAGGAGCCAAGTCTCTGCAAGGGGAAATGTCACTTGCCCACAGCGACCCCGAGCCCAAAAGCAGCATCTTCGGTGCCCCCGTGAGAGGCAGTGGCTGGAACTGGGGAGGCAGTTGCAGGAACAGGCAAAGTGAAGACATTGTTTTGGCTGCTGGCACTTACTGCAGAAATGTACTGGCTGTTTGTGAACCTGGGTCTCCCCTCCACTGCAGAGCTGTGCTGTGGGGCTATGGGCACGTAGGGGGGCGAGCCCATGTCTTCACAGAAGCTTTCCTGGGGGACGTTGGAGACACAGCCGCTGTCAGAGCCGCTGGAGCCCGTGGCTGACATGCAGTGCGATGACTCTGAGCTCTCTGTTGCTGGGGAAAGAGAGGAAGGTCACTGATAACCACGAATTTGGGCTGTGTATGACCTGTGCCACACACACTTGATGATGTACCTGTTTGCAGAGGCACTGGCCACACAAGCCACACTCCTCCCTGGGCCTCTTTAAAGCCCCAGGCAACAAAACAACACAAGGAAACTGAGTCATAATGATGCTGGAGATTGGTGTGGGCTGGCCAGGGAAATTCACTCAAGGGAAGCCAAGGGGTCACTGGACCAGGCTGATGAGGGCAAGGAACAGAGGGGCAGAGACACGAGTGCCCAAGGCCACAGCAGCACCAGTACACAGCACCAAGGCTGTCATGGGCATGGCTGCAGCTCAGTGGGCACTTCATAATCCCTGTGTCTGAGCTAACTCCCCCTGTGGAAGCTGAAAGAGCTGGCACAGAAGGGCACTGTGACCCCCAGAGCCTGGTCTGAGTGCACTGTGCAGAGCAAGGTGAGGGGACGAGCCTGCCCCTCCCGGGACCCCACGTACTCAGGGATGGTTGGCTGCTCGTCTCGTGCTCCAGCTCATCCTCCTCGATGCAGGTGCCGATGTCAAAGGGGCATCTGGGGGGCAGGACTTCTGGCAGCAGAGCCTGGTTCACATACATGTGGAGGTTGAGGGGCCCCAGCAGGGAAGAGGAGGAGGAAGGGTTGTACGCAGTGTGGGTGCTGCCAGTGGAGAGCTGCGCTTGCGTCCTCTTGAACGGGTTGGAATGGTCAAACTGAGACACTGCGATTGATGCTCTGGTCCTGGCACCTGCCAGAAAATATATTAAAAAAAAAAGCCCTGAGAACCAGTCCTGCCTGGCTCACACAGAGCAAGGTGGAAGGCAAAGCCGGCACCTACCTCTGCCTTTCATGATGTAATCGATAGCACGGTCATTGATAGCTGCCTCGCTGGGTTTGATGTCCAGGAATGGCTTGTTACCCACACCCATGGAGACCATCTCCTGCATACGGATTTCTGGAGAGGAAGAGACCCACAGCCACATGATGAGGTTGACCTGACCCTCCCAACAGCATTACGCAGCTCCAGGATAGAGCACTCCTGGGCTTGGCTGCTCCTGAACTGCTGAGACTGGATCTGTTCTCCCCTTGCTCCCCAGCCCTGCAGAGTCTCCAACAAGCAGTCATGCCCTGCTCTGGCCAAGCAGCTCAGTGCCATGCCGCCTAGTTGAGTCCTGCCAAGCGGGAAGCCTGGTGGGGGAGAGGAGGGACTCAGCCAGCCTGATTCAGGCAGCTCCCACTCCAGCAGTGGCCTAGATCACAGAGAGAGCAGCGAGTCTTTCAGGGGTACTGGACAGAGAACCCTGTGCTCCTATTTCTCTACAGTCACACAGAGCTTGGACTGGTTGAGATCCCTGGGGACGAGGGGCAGGGAAGGGACATGCCCAGCCAAGCCCAGCACATGCTCCTGAGGCTGCATGCCAGCACACAGCTGCTTGCTGCACAGAGCTGCCTGCTAACAGGCTCCAAACCTACTCCGGACAGCACGAGCTGAACAGGGCTCCCGCACCTTTCGCGGCACAGACGCCCCAGGGAGGAATCACACCTTTATTGCGGGCTGCCTGCTGCCACAGGATCTTGGCAATGTCACTGGTCCAGGCCTGCTTAGTCTCAGCTGAGCTGGCCTGGAGGATGTAGGTGTCGCTGGATTTCCGCCTCCGGAACCAGATCTCGAAGCGCAGGCCGCTGTCTCCGGAGTTCTCCGTCAGACCAATGTCTGCAGTCTGTGAGGAATGGGAAAAGCAAAGCATCGACCAGGCTGCACCAGGAGCAGAAAGGGTAACCTCTGCCTGAACCCTGTGCCACAGCTACCTCCAGCTCGGCACAACCAGTGGGAAAGAGCCTGAGGTCCTGTCAGGAGCAGATACGATCTGGACACAGCTGAGCACACACAGCTCGGGCAATTCCCAGAGCTTCATCCGGAGTCAGCACCACTTCCCTGCCTTTCCCTCACACTCCCTGGCCCTCAGAAAATGCTGACCCCCCACATCTCACGGCACAGAGAGGGCCTAGGCATTAATGTGTGAAGTATTCACTTCTGTTTTCACTGCATGGCTTGGAGAAGGCTTAGAAGTGGTGGGAGCAGCTCTTCTGCTGAAGGTGCTCCTGCTTCCCATTTTCAGGGGCAAGTCCATGGGGAAACCAGCCACGGACACGTCTCACATGGGAGGGAACAGCAGAGCTGCCCTTACCTTGAAGGAGCACTTGTAGATATACACATCAAAGCCACCCTGGATCTTCTTGGGCTTGCTGAAGAGGATCAGATCCTCAAAGAGGAAGACGTGGCGCTGGCACTTCCTACGGCCCAGCCAGATGGTGAACTCGTCCTGACGCACCAGCTGTCCCTGCTCCTTCAGGTTTACCTGGACACAGAGCACATCCTAGTGAGACTTCCACCTTGAGCCCCGGGGTTTCTGCACTTTGCATGCCTCTCCTTCAAGTCCCACCCAGATGATTTTGTCCTACCCCTGCCATCAGCATCAGCTTGAATTCCTTGCAAACTGCCTGACCCTCTTTTCACCAGCTCAGAAGAGGTGAAAGGCCCAAAGCAGCATGCAGGACAGCATGTTTAAGGGCTGCCAGGCTGCTGGTGAGCACCTGGCAGTGTGTTTATGACAACCCCCTCAGGTAACAGCACCCAGGCTGTCTGTCCTGACAGATCAAGGAGATCTCCAAGCCCCATTGTTCCCTTGCCCCACGCCTCAGTGTTCCTGCTACGCTGGACTGGCACACAGCACCCTGAGCACTGTGGGAATCTGAGGGGAGGCTCACCATACAATCCAAAGACCCCAAGCCCAGAGAAGGGGAAGAAGTGTGGCTCTGCCCCCCTGGGCAGGGGAGGACACCGGAACGTACGTCACAGTCACGGATGGCATCCATGGCCAGCAGGTCATTTCCATGCCGGAGCTGAAACTTCACCATCTCCTCAGCTGCACGCAGGTAGCCCAGCTCCTGCTCCTGAGCCTCGCTGCACTCCTTGATCAGGTCCTTCAGGAGCAGGGCGTATTTGCTCATCCTCTGGATGGGTTTCAGCAGGTAGGAGGCCAGGTCCATCTTATCCCCCAGCTGCACCTGCTTCAACTGAGAAATGCAGCAGAGTGAAGGCAGCAGCTTTCCCATGCCCCCAGGCAGGCACTGACACCCACAGCTCTCCTGGCTGGGGTACTCAGAGAAAACAAGTGCTCTCAGGGAAATGTAAGGCCACAGGACCAGCACTGCTGTGTGCTGGGCTCCTTTTCCAAAGCCCTCACTGCTCTTCTGCCCTGTCCCCCCCTTGCTCCTGTGCAGACACATGCCAGGGAAGCAGAGGCCAGCATTGAGCCTGCCTCAGGAAGGAAAGTTGGGTTTGTTTAAAAAGACTGGTTCAGGACCCAAACACCCTGAGCAATCATGAGGCAGACAGAGGGACTCACCTTGAAGAAGGTATTCCCATGGCTGGCCAGCAGCGAGTCTGACTTCGGCTTGTTCTTACTATACAATGCATACATTCCAAACTGGTCCTTCTGCAGAAGAGATCCATCCTCCAGTGAGACCCACACACCCAGGGCACAGTGACAGCTGTGCCCCTGGCAGGTTACTCTAGAATTACTTCTGCCTCTCCCAGGCTGCACCAGAGTCTCCTCTGATATCAGGAATGACTTTGCTCCAAACTCATTAAGAGCCAGGGAATGTACTCGTGTTCCTACTCCTATGGTATCCAGGAGTCTTTAATCCACTGTCCTGTCATCCTTTGCCCCTTCCATACTCCAACAGCAACCTGGTACCATTCAAACCTAGTAGCAGCAAACGTGCATGGGGGCAGCTGACCTTAAGACCTGTGCCCCATGCTTCTGTCCAGCAGCCCTTTTCACCCAGAGCAGCAGGTCTGCACCTCACTGGTCACTGAAGTCATTCCCCCCTTACACCACAGACAGAAGGTGGGTATGGGATGCCCCTGCAGAAGCAGATGGGGCTTCAAGAACAGACATTTTGCTTCCCTGGATGTGTCTCTGAGTGGCAAAGAGCATCTGCTGCCATCTGGGCTCAGCCTCACACAGCCATCCCAGTCCAAGCTAGCCTTTGAGCTGGAAGGGGACAAACCAGCCCAGCACAGGGTAATCCTTCCCCTCCCAAAAAGGGTCACAGCCCACTAACACACCAAATACACAGGCACTGCTGGGCTGGGGGGCTGAGCACATGCCCGGAGCAGCCCGACCCAGGGTGGGGAGGTGCTGATGGTCCTTACGTGTCGCAGGAAGCAATGGCTGACCCGCAGCGGGTGGTTACAGCAGCTCTCCAGCTCCCGCAGGAAGTACTGGCTGTGGAAGTCGTAGAGCTTCTCCAGGTTGCCGAAGATGACGCTGCGCTTGCCGCGCAGGTCCTGGGGCAGGTCGAGGCGCTCCATCTCGGGGAAGTAGCTGTCGATGATGTAGCGCAGCGACCTCACATACTCCCGCTCTGTGGTGACCATCTCGTCGATGATGTGCCGCAGTTTGCTGCAACAGCGAGCACACGGCCCTGAAGGGACTGACCCAGGCAGCCAGAGCACCTGCAGAGCACTGCGCTGTCTCTGCAGAGACCCAGCACAGAGGGGAGATGATCCCTCAGCACGATCCAGGCTCATGTGAACAACTATGTGTGATAGCTCTGACCCTGAGCACTGACAGGACCCAAGGGAACGGCACGAAGCTGTGTCAGGGAAAAGGTTCTTCACCCAGAGGGTGGTCAGGCAGTGGAACAGGCTCTCCAGGGAAGCATTGACGGCACTAAGCCTGACAGAGCTCAAGAAGTGCTTGGACAATGCTCTCAGGCACAGGGGGGGATTCTTGAAGTTGTTCAGTGCAGAGTCAGGAGTTGGACTCAATTATCCCTGTGGGTCCCTTCTGACTTGGGATAGTCTGTGATTCTAAGGAACCCTGTCAGCTTTCCTGTTCAGGGAGAGCGAGCCTCGGGCTGGCTGTGATCCTGGCCTAAGCTCAGCAGGGCACACATCCCTTGTCCTAGTAAAGCAAGAGCAGGAAACAAACCATGTAACACCTCATCAGCAAACAGCACTTCCCAGCGTGGGTTGCTCCACGCATCTAAGGGTGCCTATCAGGTACTCGAGGTTGCCACTGCGAGGCAGTGCAGCACCAAACATAACTACTCTAACGTGTCCCTGCCTCAGCTTTCCCCCAAGCCAACTCCTCTGGTTGTTCAGAGGACAGCTCTTCCAATGAGAGCAGCTGAAAGACCTGCCTGGAGATCCCCTGTCAAGAACAGCTCACATCCCTGGCCTCTCCATAGCTTAGGCATGTTGAAGTACGACAACAAAGTTGAGACTCTCAAGGACAGAGAAGGAAAAGAAGAGCACAAAAGCCAGCTGCTGGACATCTAGAAATTTCAGCCCCAAAGGACAAATCCAGTCTCTTATCTGTGAAGCTGGAAATGCTTCCCTAACAGTCTGGATCCAGCACTGCCCAAAAGAATGTGGGACAATGCACTGTGTTTATGCTCCCCTACTGAATAGTGTTTCTGTATCCCCTCATCCTCCAATGCCAGCAAGGTTGAGAGACTCCCTCTCCTGGGACTCCTTCCCCTCTTAGAGGAATGACGCTGCGAGGGAAGAGCAACAGATCCCATTTCTCTGCCTCCCCACCGAGAAAGCTGCCAGGCTATGTGGGGACATCCCTGCGTGCTTGCTCAGCACCCCACACGTGTGTGCAGGAACGATGGAGATGTAGCTCCAGTCACCTACCCCGTACCCAGTGCTCAAGCTCCGCAGAGCTCCCCACATCTCTGCTGGCTGCCTTTTCACCAGCCTGAGAAAGCACCGAACGTCAGCACCAGCCACTCACCTGCCCCAGCTCTTGGCTTCCGAGGCGGAGAGGCAGCCCCTGTGCCCCTCGAGCAGGCAGTCTGCAGCCCAGCTGTGAGCCGCCGGCTGCCGCAGCGCGAACGTCCTGTCCACCAGCTCGGTGCTGCTCACCTCCAGCCCCTTGATGAAGACGCCGGTGTTGCCGTACCTGACCGGCTCGCTCCTCTGGCAGCTCGACCACAGGCTCTCCCCGCAAGGGAGGTCGAAGCTTTGGGCCTTCCGGAGCACCCTCCTCGGAGGCAGCTTCCCGGGGGCCGGAGTGGATGCAGAGGGTGGCTTCACCTCCGAGGTTTCTAAGATGCTCTCGAGGTTTGGCTGTTCTTCAGGCAGCTTTGGAGACTTGCAGGCCCCGCTGGCAAAAAAAACTCTGCTTGAGTGAGGGCCAGGGCTGAGAGCAGTTTGGCTGGCAGCGTCTTCCCCAGCCCCGACATCAGCGGGGCAGCTCAGGGAGGGCGAGGGAACTTTCTCCTTAGTCCACTCCAGAGAGCAGTTGGACCTGTTGTAACAGTGGGATGCGCTGTAAGTCCTGTCCCAGTGGGACCTGGAGGTGGCTCCCTCGGAGTGCCTCCAGTGGAACAGACTGCCAGCCTCGCTGCCACCCTGGGGCTGCTCCCCGGCAGCTGGGCTGTGCTCTGACAGCAGAGACTTCCTCGTTCTCAAGGCCGCTTCCAGTTTCTTTTCAAAAACCAGCTTGGTCTCCTGACATTTAGACCACGCGAATTTCCACTGCTTGAGCCCCTTGTCACTCTTCAGCTCACAGGCCAAGTCCTTCATCTCCTGGAAGCGGGCAGCGCTGATGTCGGGGTGCTGCCCCTTGTAACTCTCCAGGCACTTGATCACATCTGCACAGTGCTCGGGGGAGCTGCAGTCCTCCATGCTGACACAGGCGAGGTGTCGCATCCCTTCCAAGGCCCACTCGTACGCCTGCAGAGCCAGAACAAAAAGCAGCAGCCGGTCAGAGGGACTCTGTGAAGAATAACCCTAATTCCGTGCCTGAAGACAAGAGAAAGGATCAGTGTGTGGCCATCGCAGATCGAGCGTGTGGGTGGGGGGGCTGCTATTGTCAATGGGGCTTAACAATTCAGCAAAACAAACAGCCCCTTATGCCAAGGGCTTCAGCTGTGCTGGCTGCTCTGCCACAGCCCCACCTCCCCAGCAGGTCCCAGCGGCGCTGGCACCCACACTGCTGGGCACGTTTGTCCCCTCCGGGCAGGGGGGCCCGGGGGAAGCTGCTGCTAAGACTGTAGGAATTCACACCTCAGTGTGACCCTGCTCAGTAGGAAACCTGGAGCTCTCCCTCCCCCTCTGCCCAGCCACTCTTACCACTGCCATGCAGGACAAGGTCACAGGGGCATCAGTAAGCTGCTGCTCCCCACACACACATTTCCCTGGAGCTGACAGCACACAGAAGCCTGGAGCTCCAGCAGAGCTGGGGTTTGTGGATCACCCCAAGTGATCCACTGACCCATCCTTGCAGCAAGGAGGAATCTGACACTGTGCAGCTTGAGCCCGTGCCTGCTGGCAGCTGTGTGGTGCGCTGTGCCCTGCCTACCTGCCTGGCTCTGCTTGCCACTGCACTACATGCTTGTGCTGGTTAGCTGAATGCTGAGCTCAGCAGTTTATTTCTAATATTCCAGGAATGCTGGAAGCAGCTTCATGGGGCTTAACTCCAGCAGTGGTGCATGAAACAGTGCCTTGCTGAGACAGCTCTGCCACATCAGTCAACCAAGAGGAGCGGGACAAAACGTGGTCCGACAGGACAGACACAAGGGAGGAGTGAGTGCCTTATCACCATGGGAGGAGAGGGGCTAATAAAGCATCAAGCACCAAGTCCTGTCTGTCATCAATCAGATCAGAAGAAAGGCAAACATCTGACGGGTTCATTAGCCACCTCTCTATAAAGCAGGGATGATGACAAGGTTTAATGATAGAGTAAGATGTGACCAAGTTGCCACAGGCCTGGTCAGGGAACTTTACTATGCATCAGTGAACACACAGGGTTATTTGTCAAGATCAGATGCACAAGACAGGGAAAACACCCAGGACAGGGCTGCCCGGCATCTTCCACCAACTGTCTACACTAGAGGATGTGCAGAAACACCACCAGCTGCTCTTGAAGTGAACCAGACCATCCCTAGCACTTGGCCTGTGTACCTGCAGAAAAACAACACTCATGCTTTAGTGCCAGGAACAAAGTGACCAGCTTTTACATTTTCCACTTCCTGAGCAGCATTACTGCGACGATTTTTACTCAGAGAGCTTAAAGCCCTTACTTTTATGCAGGCTTAGACACCAAGAAAATCCACCCAAGCTTTGTGCAAGCAGGCACTGCATCCCTATCAGGCTCATGGTGGTCAAACAGACCAGGAGCCAGGCTCACTCTGCTGGAGACAGAGGTAGGCAGGGCAGAAGGTATTTCATTCACATGCTGCCCAATCCCTGCTGTTTGTACAAGAGCTAAATGCCAGCACAGCCTGTAGCCTGCAGCCCGAGCAGAGTCACTCCAGGGGCAGATTCCACCGGAGTTCCCAGAGCCATCCGCACTGCTCTTCTGAGCTGCAGCTGCACGGCGTGCGTGCAGCCAGACCCATTCCTCACACGGAGCTCCTTCAGAAACACCAGCAGTTGTTCAGGGAAAAGGCTTCTCAGCCCCACACAGCCTCAGCACAGAGAAACTGGAAAGAGCAGCAACCCCCTCTCCTCTCATCGCCCTGCCCTGTGCAGCAACAGAGCCCTCACCTGCCTCTCTCTCAGTCCAGGCCTTATGCCCTAGACCTGCCCACTGCTGGGGGCCAGAAGGGATGTGCAGAGGCAGAGGACGCGCCACATTCTGGTGAGAAGTTGCATTTCCCCATGATGCAGAGGGTCTTCTATTCCCTGGAGATGGAAGCACACCCAGGCGAGGGGACACACCAAGTGCAGCAGAGCCCGGCAGTGACAGATGGATGATCCTGCTGTGGTTCTTTGAGCTGCCCCCCTCCAGCTGCACACAAACCAACATCAGCCCCTTCCAGGGGCAAGGGCTGGCCATCTGTGTGGGCTAAGAACAGGCACACCTCACTTCTCTGGCTGTGAAGGGTGATCCTCACTGGAGGCTGCGTGCTGGCTGCCTTCGCTCAGCGATGGAAAAGCTGAGCTCAAAAGGCACTCTGGGCTCTGAGAGAGTGTGCTCAGAGCACTGTGCAGGACAGAGACAGCCAAAACACCAGCCTGGACTTTACAGCAGCCAGGCAGGAGGGCAGCCACCCTGTGAAGGCGTTATCCAAGGCTGGAATACTCATTTCCATGCACAGACAGAGAGAGAGAGAGAGAGAGAAAAAATGTGGCTTCTTTTATTTCTAGGAAACCCCACAGATCTGCACGGAACCACTGGAGGAGGGATCAGGGCTGCAAACCAGGCAGGGAGGCAGCTCTGCCACCTCTCTTGTTCACACAGTCTCTGTTCTTGGCGAGGACCCCAGGGCTGTGCAGAAATGACTCCCACTCCCGATGGCATTCCCTCCATCCCCAGGGCTTGCTGCAGCCAGCGAACAGCTCAGCTTTGTTCCCAGTCCCGTGGAGCAGCCTCCACACCCTGCAGCTTGCCTGCTAACATGCTGAGGGACCACCGAGGCTTTCTCCAGTCACATCACCCTCTTCAGCTGCCCCTTTTAGCACAGAAATGGCAGCTCTCTTCAGAGACCAAGCGTGCCCCCATCCTCATGCAGGGGGTATTGTTGTCACCGGTGTTCCCCCAGGAAGGTTACAAACAGCACCCAGTCAAGCCAGGATACTGAAAAATGTGGGATTTTGGGGGAGCAAGGCAGCCCTACAGCTTCTCTGCAAAGCTGCAAGGGCTGCTCGTGTAAGAGGAGGCAGCCATGCACAGTGAGGTTGAAATCCTCCCAACCATGTCTGGAACCAGGCAGGAAGGAGCCTGTACCTTGGCTTTTGTTCCTTAGAGAAAAGTCGTTACCAAAACTCTCAATTAAAGGATTAAAGACAGATGTGCTTCCTGCACGTGCAGGGCTGACCTATCCTGCAACAAGTTGGTCCTGCCAGGTTGCCCAGGACAGGCAGGGGCTCGTGGGGGTGTAACCCTCAAGCAACCCTCAAGCCCACCACCCTGTGCTGGTCCCTGATCATTTCACCATGGACAGAAGCTCCTGGAGTCTGTTGGATTTGGCATCACTGAAGTGCCATCTGCAAGTATTGCCCGAGAGAAGCTGCTCGGCCCTGGCTCAGGGCACGTTACCAGCAGTGCACAGAAAGCCTTCCAGGGGTCCTGGATCCCCACCTGAGCCACCACTCAGATATTACATCTTCCCAACTCAAACTTATTACAAATCCACCAGATTCCTTTCATACTCATGGTTCAGTGATCTGTAAGGCACCTTCTGGGCAGCCAAAACAGGGGACAGACACTGTGCATTTCAGACATGCCAGAAGGGGCAATTTCAGGGGGGTCTGGCTTTGTCCAAACCTTTTCCATCTCCTCCTGTGGAGACAAGATGACTATAACTGTATTTTTTCTTGTCACATAGGAATCTGGGTGTCTGAGCAGGTAGAAGTAGGTTAAAAACAGATCTCATCCTATCTTCCCATCCGTCCAGAGAGGGTCCATACCCTGGGTGTACCCAGATCTGTGCTGTACATTATCAGCCCCTAGAGCCAGACTTGAGGCAGGGCCACTGCTTCAGTGCATCATCTCAGCTATTCAGAAGCAAATACTGCAAAGCAAAATACCAGATTGGGGAGCCCTGGTAACCAGAGACAAGGCAGAGGGGGCAGGGGCTGAGCTTCCCATGAGAACTACTGAAGTGTGCAGAGAACACCCCGACTGGGCACAGGCCAGATCCCCTTTCTTTCACAGTGCAAAACACAGGGAGGGAAAACATCCCAACCGACCCCAAATTCAAGCAAAGTGCAAAGCAAGCTGTTACCCGACACACAGGAGCTGTGGAGAAAAAACAATCAATCCTCCCAGACATTGCGATGCTTTTTCCACATCTCCAAGAGCCAAAAGCCCCTGCTCACTTCTAGCAAGGTCTGTGGCTCCAGGAGCAGGCAGAAACATTGGAGACACAAGAAACCATGTAATTGCAGAGCACAAGCATTTCAGCAAAGCCACCAAGTTAGAAGTAATCTCCTCTCTGTGCAGAGATTCGTTGTTCTCTCTTCCCCACCCTGTAGCACTCGACTTTTCCAAACTGCATCTGAAGCCCTGCCTGGGATTCATTAGCAGCAGAAATCAAACTAATCAGAACTGTGTCCTGATGTAGCTGGTAGGGATGTGACTGTGGGGATGGAGCTGGTAAAAGCTCAGCTTTAAAGACAAAAGGACTGACACTCTTGAACTGAAAAGCTAAATCACTTCTGAGTTGCTGTGTAGCTCACAGGGCTTCCCCTCCTCTCTCCAAGGGAGGACAGACTACTGAAATCATCAGTTTGCCTAAAATTAGCTGCTAAGGGAAACAAACTTTAAATCCTGTATTTGCATTTCTGCCAGTTACCAAGAGCCAGCTGTTGCACAAACACCACGGGAGGGCAGAGGATGAGAGACGAGCACAAACTACAAACTCCTTGGATTTAAGCATAAGAAAGGAGAACAAGCAGTAAGCACAGCTGGGCAGGAGAGAAGAACAAGGGGTCAGGGAAGCAGCACCTGTCAGGGTTAGTCTGGGCACGCCACAGCCCAAGCACCATCAAAGGCTGCTCATTAAAGCAACTTGCTTGGACATCTATTTTGCAGCAGCGCTCAGGATGAACACGACCAGAGCTCAAAAATCCCTTCGTCTGCCCTCTGGGCAGTCAGGCATGACAAGTCCAGGAGAGCCTAATTACAGGAGAAGATAATTGGATAAAGTAGGATTGCACACGATTTCTGCTCTGTTGACGACAGCACGAGGACCCGAAGGGCAAACGCGGCTCGTTGTGCAGGACCC